ATTCAAATCCTATAACGTGCGTGATCGGGTTCTAACAAAATCATGCAGAACAACTAGGCTATGATACCACTGTTGGGTTTTCCTGGGATCTCATGAGCGAATCATATTCCTAAGAGATCGGTTCTAGGATTTGCGCAGCGGATGTAAAACAAAAATTTGTTAAAACCCTAAAACCTATCATGCATGATCTTGTAGAAACGTTAGAACGCTTACCTCAATCGATCCGGGGCCTGTTTCAATTGATGTGTTCGTCCGATCACTATAGACAGGAAGAATACCTTGCCCTCTACACGTATCCACACCTCGGAATGGATTCCAACCTTTGGAACTTGTCTGTTAGGACACGAATCTTCTATTCGATGATGTGCTTTGAGAAAGAGAGATTAAGATCACTTCTTCAACCCCTTAGACTCTCTAAAAGGGTCTGAAAAGTTCTCTAGGTCGGCTCCTTAGTGTTAGGGTTCTATTTCTCCTCTTATTCAAGTGATTAACCCTAGATTCGGACTTTAAAATTAAATCTGAACCCCAGACCGAACAGACTGCTTAGTAGTTCGTTCGGTCTGGACACTTGGTCCGTTCGGACCAGTTTCATAACTGGGTCTGTTCGAACTGACGGGTCAGTCCGTTCGGTCCAACACTTGGTCCGTTCAGACTGAACTCTCTAGTTCGTTCGGTCCAACAACTTGGTCCGTTCGGACTAGATGCTTCGGTTCGTTCGGTCTACTCCTAGACCGGACGGTCCGGACCACTTATCCAGTTTTCTCGACGTTTTCTTGTCCATCCCTGTTGTGTGTGACCCTGTAGGCTCATCCGATATAGCAGTATAACACGAAATCTCTTATTTTGGTTACACAAGTCGTAGGCGGTCTCTAGCAAGACACTATGACTACCTATCTCGAATAGAGTTTGTTCGTTATCTTATGAACGCCAGTGAAGATTCCGGTTGTTGATCCTTTTGTATCACGATATCATATGTCGAATATAAGGCATGGACAAGCCACCTTATCTGATTCGACTGCTTTCTCGTTCACTGAGTTCGACTGTCTGAAATAGACGACGTTCGTCTATAGTGCGGCCACACATTTCTACAGTCTCGCTCACACGAGGGACCCAGCGATATCTCTCTCTTTTATGAGAGGTACAAATCCTGTCTTGACTATCTACAATCCAGCACATGATTCGTTTCGTACCTGATACACGCATTTATAGTCCTCCTGTTACGCAGGACGTTTGACGTAATCAAAGTACGCAACTCCTCATGTTGGATTCCGTAGATATCTCAGGTCTTAGGATCCAATCATGGAACCGTCATATGAGATTCAAGTCATGACGCTAATCCATGTGACAATCTCATGCGGGTCAATCCAGTATTTCGTTCTCCAACGAATACCTATGATTGTGATCGTATCTAATACCTATGATCATCTATGTGATCATCAATCACACATCATACTAGTCTTATTATGTCGTTATTCCCATAACGACACAAGACTAGGGAGTTAAGTATCATTCATAATGATACATGGATTCCATAACACATTTAGTATGCAAGAACATGTAATGAATCAAATACGCTCATAACCCATAGAAAGTATCAATACATCAAATGTATCTAAATAAAGCTCATAAACAGTATTAGTATGCAAGAACATGTAATGAATCAAATACGCTCATAACCCATAGAAAGTATCAATACATCAAATGTATCTAAATAAAGCTCATAAACAGTACATCATAGAGCACTAAACCAACAATATATATATATGTAAAGAATTCATATCTTTTTTTATAATTAAAGAATTCATATCTTATTAGTGAAACAAATTGGAACGGCGAATATGATGCAACAGGAAGAGCATATACGAACATGAGAATGACGGTTACTTCCAATGTTGTCTTGCAATAATGCTAACTACTTCTTGGCATTTGATGACTTCTATATTTTATGCTAACAATTTTATATGCATATTTTCTTTTCTTTATTCCATTAAAGATATCACGGGAAAGTATTTTTATGATTGTGCCAACGAGGAAAAAAAACTTATGTTTAGTAACCTAATTTATTCGGCTTATAAAGTGAAATAAAACACTGATTACTTTATTACATATATATATATATATATATATATGTGTGTGTGTGTGTTTAGGTTGAGTATTTGAATTAAGTTCCTAGACTTCTTATTAATATGAAGATTTATTCAAAAAAAATATGAGGATTTATTTCATTCAATTGATGCTTATAGAATAATTATCTTTGGATAAAAACAGTTTCTATTGGAAATTATGGAGAATTAGAATTATCTATTATAAGTTATAACATTATATTCTTGATAGAATTAGTGTTAATTTCTTTTCTTTTATAATCAAATTAGTGTTAATTTCTTAACTCTAACTCTCACTGACTCTCCATAATTTCCAAACTTCCCCAGGACATCTTTTTTTTTAATAAAAAAAACAGTTTACATCTCTCTACCGCCTATAACTATACTATAAATATTGAAATTATACATATGTATGTATATAACACAATGATATGTGCTCTTACATCACTTGAAGGAAAAGTAAAGCCATCAATAATTATGTGTATATATATATATATATATATGATGGACACATTTTTTAGATCATCTTGTATCCATTTTCTGTTTGTCATCATTTGGGTTTGGTTTTTTGAGTTACTTTCAAGCTTCATCGAATGGTCTGATTATTTTGGTGACTTTAGATATATAGTCACCAACCAATATGAATTTATTTTACACACATAATACAATTATCTTCATTTTTTGTATTTAAAAAATAGTAGGGATTAGTAGTAAAAGAGGTCAAACATAATATAACATTGAAATATTATATGATTAGCTGATTAATTAATTTAGATGGATAAACAAAACAACCCATAAAATAATGGGATTGGCTTTGATGGCAATATATTTCCACTTCGTGTCGGAATTGGAGTATCTATCATAAGATTCTAACACAAAAATGGTAATGATTTTAAATTATAATTAGGGGCACAATTAAGTGAGTTGACTATAATTAATTAAGAAACTTGATTAATTCAATCCTACCGTGCCATGTAATTATTAATATCATCCATTAGAAATCATGTGGCCGTGAGCAAGTTGCTTTTCTTTATATATATATATATATATATTCTTAGTGAAGAAAATCATTAAAGAGGTGACAACAAATTTTAAAATTACTAATAGCTTCAGCCATCATAAAACTTTTTCTTTTTTTTTTTGGTACAATTTGTTTTATTATTTTGTAAATTTTGGTTCGTACATTACAAGAGATGGAAAAGCCATTAAGCGAGCTTTAATCAAAGTTTTTTTCATTAATTTTATTAGTAATATGAACAACTGCATATGTCATCGGGCATGTTGGACAAAAGTTTAGATAGATCAAAATGAAAAATCATATTATACGTGCCCCGTTCCAATGTATATCATTTAAATTCATTTATAATTCTATATTGCGTTCTTTAATAATACAAGTGATTCACCGAACTATCCCTGTTTTCGGTGCATGCATATATATTGATTGGTTATATAATAAATCATTTATTCGATTATTAATAATATCCGGATCCTAAATTATTTTCCTCTTGTTCTATCTTTCTTTAGTGAAAAATTAACTAAAACTGGCACGTGCATGCAAGCATACGTGTGTATATCTATATGCATGCGGATCTATGCGTACGTGAAGTTTAGTGCATTCAAGGTGTTATATATATGCATATATATATATATATATGCATGTGTTTATAGAATGTTAAAACGTCAAGTTGAAATAGTTGTGTATTTAATGATTTTGGTCCAATCATCGGTCTTATTAACTAGAAAATAATGACGCCGAAATTGAGATTGAGGCAAAAAAAAAGTGTCAAATGTTAAATTATCCAGTTTTTTTTATACAGTTTATTATTTAATTCATAATGACAATATAACAAATTTCAAATTAGATTGAATTTCTGGAGGAAGCCCGTTGGAATAAAAACTTAGATAATGAAATTAAAAAAATGTGGAATAATTTAGAGACATCTATTGTGTACTACGTAGAAATAGAATCGTGATATTTCTTCATTCGGGCCCCACCATGTGTGTCTACCAATCAGCGCGCCGCACGTGGGGCCCTCGGTCTGCAACATTATTTAGGGGTGAATAATTATACCTACTACAATTTTAAACGTCATTACAATTTCAAACGGTAGTATAATAGTATTGGTTAGTATATCAGGGGTTTTTTTTTTTATTCTTTTACATTTTTTTCATAAAATATTTATCTTTTTAATTTTTAATAATCCAGTTTTAAAATTAATATCAAATTGTTTATCAATTCAAACATAATTTTGAATATAATTATATATCTCTGATTCGATTTCAAACATATATTATTGTTTCTAATGTATATGTGGTACAATAGTTTGGCTTGCAAGTTGTAGAACTCCATTTCTATTTGATTTGGATATTAAAATAGGCAAAAAAAAAACAATTTTTAGTTTTTTTTTTCTTTCAAATTACATCCTAAATACTAAAAAACAAATTACAATATAAAACAATTTTATTTTGTAGAGAAATCTTGGTCGTTTAATTGGGTTTGTGGGTTGGGAGCAAACCGTAGGCGGGCCTAATTCTTCATAACCCGCCCATAAATAATGATAGAGGCAATTTAATTAATATACTTTTCGTGGATCATATTCATACGAACCCATTGGTCCATTACCATTATTATTCCAACGTCGGTCCAATGTGATTTTACCTAGTTTGTTTATTATTTATTATTATTATTTGAATTGTAAATCAAGAGAAAACAACTACAAATCGTCTGAAAATTGAACTAATTTCGGGTTTCATTTCTCTCCACCCCGCCGTCGAACTTAATAACATAACATAATGTTCCTGCTTGTGTTTTTCAAAATGGAGTCGTGGCATCACTTATTATATATATATATATATATATATATATATATATATATAAGAAATATTAAGACGAGCAGAGAGATACAAATTCTGCAGGGAGGATAGATTAACAGACAAAATTTATGATTATTTTTCTAATCAATATCGCTATTATTAATAATATTATAACGCCTCATCATTCACAATTATATATATATATATATATATAGTTCAAAAGCTTTATTTCGTGTTCGGTTCCTCCAATTTCATCTCCTCGGATCTGCATTCGCTGCTACAAAAGGCTCTCTCCCCCCTGCAACCCAAATCATGTCATTAATTTAATTTCCTTCTTAACAAATTAATTAATTTGTTTAACACATTAAATATTTGCTTGGGTCCCACCAACCTGTACATGAAAATGTCTTCGCGAGGTCCAAGATTCTTCTTGCAGTTGCAACATGTACTCAGAAAATGGTCCGGCGAGCAATGACCCGACCCGTTTTCGCTTTCCGGGTCGAGGATCCGGAAGTAAACGACGTCGGATTGGCTCTCCACGATCAAGTTTTCGAAGATATGGATCGTTCTCGGGTTGGGTCCGTGGCACGTGACGCACGTGTAGTCCTCCGACGACAACATCTCGCTCGCCGAGAGATGATGACCCGTGAACATCCGGGCCGGGTCATGACCCGTCCGGTTAATCGAGCTCGGCTGAGAATTGTTGTTCGTCGACGTTTTGATCCCGGGGATTTGGATCCGGAGCTGCGACCCGAATACGATTGTCCGGGATCCGGGTCGGGTCAAACCGGGTTCGGGTTTATCTTCGTCGAGGAGAGAATCGATGACGATGGCGAGACCGATGGGTTCCGGGTCGGGTTTGCGGGTTATCGGGTTTTTAGCAACGGAGAAGGGTTTTGGGTCGAGAGTGGATGTTGGACTGTCGACGGCGTCGTTTTCGGTGGTGAAGCTCTTGAAGCTGCCGAAGGCAGTAAAGAGCCTTGGAAACGACGTCGCTTTGCTCTGTTTACCGCTCGGATCCGCCATTAAAGCTTGCTTGCTTCTCGATCTCTTCCTCAGCATAATTCACTGCAACACAAACAAATACGCCGATACATACATGTATATATAAATATTCAGAAACACCCAACAAAGAAAAAAATGGAACTTGTGACTGATTTGGTAAACGAACATGCAAAACAATTTAAAAAGAACCAACCTTTAGGATCAGAAAGAGGATCTCTTTAGCTGAATTCAGAGACGGTATAAGAACAAAGATGTCATCTTCCATGTTTGCAGATCTTTTCTGTTGTTTCCATGGCCGAGAAAAAATAAAGCATCCAAATAGAAAGTAAGGGGGGGAAAAAAGCCAAACAGAAGTAAAGACGAAAACTTTTCTTCTTTCCCTCCCGACTTTCTCGCACTTTCTCGCCAACTTTCTCAGAGAAAAAAAAAACGATTTCTCTGCAGGTGAAAGATCTACAAGGAAAAATAAAACTAAGCGAAATGATCCGTTTTCCTGTTTTCAAAGCTTTAGGGTTATAATTTCAAAATCTAAACACTTGAGAAATCGCCGTGAATCTGCAGGGCACAAAGGCGTGTGTGCATACAGTATACTACATATGCATGCATGCATGTGTGCGTGTGTGTGTATATATATATATAGAGAGATTATGAGGAAGTACAAAGAGAAATCAGTGGGTGAAGAAATCCGCAACAAAACCACTAAGGCATTTTTAGCTTTAGCAGTGGAACTTCCCAAAATTCCTTTTTCTTTTTTTGTTTTTTTCTTTATTTATTAATTTGCTTTTTCGTATGCGAGAGAGAACCACTCATGTCGTTTTCTACTGACTCTCCTTATCTCTCTTCTCTTTTTTATAAGGTAAAACCCCTAAAAAATTTCCAACTTGCAAAAATATATATAAATAAATCTTCAATTTGAAAAACTGTCATTCAATCCCCAAATTTGTAATTTATCACTGAATAAAACCTCGAACTTGCAAATTATTGTTCTAATAAACCTTTGATCAGTTTGACCACAATTTCAAACGATCGGAAATCTATGTATTGACGGATTGCTGATGTCATTTTTTAAATTAAAATTGATAACGTGTATAACGTGACATCAACAATCCGTTAATACGTGAATTTCTGATCGTCTGAAATTGTGGTCAAACCGGTTAAAGGTTTATTACAGTAATAATTTGTAAGTTCGAGGTTTTATTCAATGACAAGTTACAAATTCAGAGATTGAATGATAGTTTTTCAAGTTGAAGGTTTATTTATATATATTTTTGTAAGTTGGAGTTTTTTAGGAGTTTTATCCTTTTAATAATATATTTTTTTCATTTTATCTTTTGAAAATATTTTTGGAAGTTTTCCTCTTTTCATTTTACAAATTTCATAAAAGGGGCATGTGACAAATTGAATTTTGAATTTACTCGTGTCTAAATATAGATTTCTGGTTAATGGTTTTTACCTTTCGCGGTGAATTCGGTGACTTCAATATATTTCAGTAAACAGTAATTTTTCCAAAACTACATCTTATTACGTGAAAAATTTTATATGAACTTGCCAACGTGACTGTATATCGTATGTTGTTTGGACACATGCATCTATTATTTTTTTTTTGTAACGTGAATCTACGGTGTTTGATAGCGTGAACATTCAATTAATTATAATATATAATACAATATAATATGGCAGAAGCAATATTTTATTTGAAAGATCTTGTTTTGTATTTTCATACATCATCATCATAATATATAATTTTTTAATTTCCTTTAAATATTTTTTATGAAGGTAACAGGTTCTTTTGTTGATGTGGTGGACTTGGTCGAAATGGAATGAGATTCGCTTTACCCCAGTAGTCATATTTCGAAACATTTTTCATCATCATAATGACCTCTCTCTCTCTCCATCCAAATTCCAATATATATATATATATATATATATGAATCCATGCAAATCCCAATATATTAATTATTAATTGTAAAGGTGAATCATCTTATTTTCGGAACCGAACCGAACCGAACCGAACTTTAAAAATCCCGAAAAACTGAATATTTTTAAAGAAAATCTATCATTTTTTTAATAAAATCCGAAACCGAACCGAACCGAATACAATAAAAAACCCGATTGGTATCTATTTTTGTAAAACCGAAAGAACCGAATCGATTCATTCTGTCCCGAACCCAAACCGTTTCCCGAAACGTCCACCCCTAATCTTATTAATCAAAAACTCAAGAAAATATATTAATGATTGTCTTTCCATTAAATCAAACCAAAGTATAATTAGCTTTATGGAAATTTGGCCACGACTCTGTGCGAGGAAACCATTGGTCGGATCGTGCAATCGTGACCGTCCGTTGCAAAAGGCCCATCTTTCATATCTCGTCAGTTTGGGCCCATGTCGTGTCGGAAGTGGGCCCAACGTGAAAATACCTTTTTACGTGGTCCCCGATTTTCACTCACATCAATAAGAAATAAATAGTAACAGTAAATAATACTACACTAGTACTCCACCCTCTGCCACTCACTGATTTTATGGTTTATTAATTTTGATATATAATATATTATACTATATTTTTTTCTTGACTTGATATTTAATTTGAGTTAATCTAGTAAAAAAATCAATTAAAAAATCACGGTGAAAATTATTATTATTTGATTAAACTCATTTTATTTTGATGTCTTTATATTTTAAATTTTAATATCCTTCACTCTTTTTTATTTAATCAATAAATTTACTATGACTTCGATATAACTATATATTTTAAATAATCGGAAAAACCCATGTCGATATCCTATTAAAACGGAGATTCAAACCTGGTTAAAAAGAAAGCTTCACTGCATTCCATACAACCAACCAATCTTGAATTTTAATACTTTTTTCTAGAATGAATTATAGATAAAATTATAGAGTTACCCTACCTAAAACATAAGTATGTGTATATTATATTATATATATATATATATATATATATATCACATTTCAAAATGCTTGTACTACAACTTTGACAAATCTATTTTAGAGATCATAATGTATTAATATGGATAGATGATATAATTTTTTTTGTCTATTCAACGTGAAAAATGTGTTAAAATCTAATGTGTGTATATATAGTATTCATATTGAATCGAAGTGTGGGATTTGAAGAATCAAAATTTATTTTTGAGGATAAAGAAATGGGAAAAATAAACATAAAATAAAATAAAATAATGAGATATAAGTGAGTGAGTGGGTGGCAGAAGAGAGATCTTTTGATGACACCATGAGTGCTGTTCAATACGCATGCGTGCTCTCAATTGTCTACAGTTTTTTCTCTATTTCTTTTTATCTTTTTTTTTTTAATTTCCATCCAAGATATATATATTTTCGAGATGGAAAAAAATTGTTTATATTTTATTAGGTTAGTTAACTATCAGAGAAAATTCAAAAAACACTGATATTTTCAATTTTTACAAAATAAAAATTAAATTTTATTTTTTATCAAATAAAACCTCAAAATTATTTTTCAATAAAAAAATAAATCTGAGCTTTACAATCTTTATCATTTTAAACTTATTACCGACGTGACGTACCGATATCGTGATATGTAAATGATGAAAAATATCAAATACAAGTGTTGACTTTCCATGTAGGATGTCGAAACGTTACGTCAACAATATGTTTAAAAATAATAAAGATTATAAAGTTCGGGTTTATTTTTTATTAAAAATAAAATTGGGGTTTTATTTGATATAAAAAAACAAAATTTATGTTTTATTTTGTGAAATTTAAAAAATTCAGGATTTTTTTTGGAATTTTCTCTTAACTATATATTAAAATGGTATTATATAAAAAATATATTTACTTTGCTATTTTGACTTCAACATATACTATTTTCCATATGTGATCATGTGACCGAAAATATAGGATGATCATATTTTGATATTATTGATTATAACGTCAAATTTATGATGATCAAACTAATTCATTATATTCATACCTTATATATTTTACTAATCATTTGATTAAAACATCATAAATTTAATACTATGAGCAACATAATCAATATGTGAGCATACTATATTTCGGGTCATATTGGTTATAGAGTCACAGTTAGAAAAGAGTATGTAATGAAGTCAAACTAATAAAGTAAGAATATTTTTATAATACCACTGCTAAAATTGTGTATAAAATAATATTTTATTTTATATTCATTTCCAATAGAATTAACTAGATTTAAAATTTTATATGCAGTCCAATTTTTATATTAAACTATAAACGTGAACGAGTCATTGGATAAGCAATCTGATTACTGTTTATATAATTTTGAAAAATTTTAAAACTATTTAGTATGGTTAATCTTTTGTAGTTAAAGTTAAATCATATTTTGATAATATAGTAGATCGTTTATCGAAAGATGCGACTAATTAAATACTTTACATGTATTTTTCAACAAAGAAATCAATTCCTAATGACTAATATTACTTTCTGATAGGAGGAAAGTTATTATAGGTTCATTTGTGAGAGAAGAGTAGGGTGTCAAATACAATTGGAATGGACCGGGCCGAGGGTTTTGGATTTTAGATTGACGGATTTGATTTTTTTCGAGTCTCTATAATCAGACCGGAGCCCAACCCTATAGATTTTGGACTTGGATCGATCGGGTCAGGTTGGATCGGACTAATTAGTTCAAAATTCTTTGTAGAATTATTTTTTTATTAAGAAAATTTTTTAAAAAATTTTAAAAAAAATTATTGGGTTTTCGGATTTTTTTCGGATCAAAATCCATTATTTTTCGGAATAGACCGGGCCGAACTACGGCACCTCGAACCTAAATTGACACTCCTAGAGAAGATGCTCAAATACATAAGATAACTGACATATATATGAGTCTATGTGTGAGTGTGATCAAGTGTGTGAGATATAATCTGTATAACTTGAATGATATATATATATGTGTGTGTGTGTGTGTTCATATTTACAAATCTGCCATGACATTTCCCAAGAATCTGACCAGATTGTAAGTGTCCACTGCTCACCGAAGCCCCCACAAGACGAATCTTTGGGGAGAGGAGCGTCGCAAAGTGCATACATATATATATATATATATATATAATATACATATAATGTAATATTTTGTATTTCAATGGATATATATATATATGTATATATATATATATATATGCTTTAGTTTCTTTTTATTTTTCTTACAAAACAATCCGGAAGAATGTACTTGATGAATCTAATGTACATATTGTAATATCGTTGTTATTTTATGTTAAGTTGAAACCTATCCAAATTATAACTATAAATTTCAATTTCTGATTTTCAATTCCCATAACAACAAATCTTTATATATAAAATACATGATTTTAGTACAAAAGTTGCAAAGCTTTGGAATGTAAAAATTACTTGATATGTTTTACATCCACAATTCATAATTACCCGGAAAAAAATATTGAAAAATGGGAATATTAGCATAGTAATCAAAGTGTGGTAGATGGGCTCAATTGGGCCTAAGTTTTAAATGTTGGGCCTTACCTAAACAAATCGTAATGTTTAGTTATCTAAATCCAACTATATATAATGTAGAATGAGATGTAATATTGATAAAAATAATGAACATATATAACTTTTTTATATAAAAGTTCAACGGAAATATAGAATGATCACAACTTAATAATTAATTTAGTTAATAATTGAAGCAATCTATAACCGAATCTAATATAAAACTAAATGGCTATGATTTCTATAAAATCAATAAAATAGAATTCGAATCGAAAAAAAATAAATGATTTTTTTTTAAAATGGGTATTTTATAAATAATAATCCAATCGAACTAAACGGATATAAAACTGAATCAAACGGAATATTTATAAGTTTTTTAATGAAATAACCGAATCGAACCAAAACCAAACCGGACACTCCTAACCAACCATATAAACCACAGTTTTTTTTTTTTTATCAACCACGAAGCCTCTGAATTATGTTCAATTTTTTTCAATAATGCAATCAGAAAGAAAGTTTTATTGCGAAAGGTAAAGAGAGACAAAACAAAGCTCTCTCCATCAATACAAAACAAATATCAACCCTAAAAGCAGAGGGGATTTATAGAGAGTAAAAGGAATGCAATCACTAGGCCGAGAAGACTGCAACGAGGGAAGCTGCAGAGAGGAAGGCGAGGAGAGAGAAGGAGAGCTTGACAGAGCTTCCACCAGATGATGAACCTTCTCCTCCTTCCGCTGATGGAACAGTCTTTGATCCATTTCCAGGTCCTGCATCAATTCATTTCAATATATATGAACATACGTTGATATATATATATACCAGTGTTCTTTGTTCTTCTATCTGTTCTAGTCATTTACCTGAAGCGTTTGGTGATTCTGCAGGAGAATCAGCTAGAGTACCACCTGCAAAATCTAACGTGTAAGATTGCAGGAAATCGAACTGGAACAATGACATATACATATACATACATAATACATATATATGGAGTATTAATTCTCACCATTGCAGGAGCTGAGAGGAGGGGTTTGAACATTACAAGCTCTGGGCAGACCCAGAGCCAGTGTCTGGTTAACGTTGAACCCCTGAAGCTGCGAGCCACCGCCGGTCAGGACCTGACACAAACACTCGGGCGAAGACCCGACCACGTTAGCCAACTGGCTGCAACACTGCCGAGAAGGGCTCGAGGAGTTTCCAGTGATGTAGTTCAGACATGGCGACAAGCTGATCAGAACGCTGGTGCAACTCGAAGACTGGGCAGAGACCATCGACGAGCACATGATCATGGCCAAAACCGTAAAAACCGCGAAACCCGCTTCCATCTTCATGTTTTCTTGGAAGTTCCGAGAATGCAGGAATGGATGAGCTAACTGTTTTGTTTTGTTGGGTTCTGAGTTTTGATTGGATTTGGTGTCTGAGAATCTATCGATGGGTTTTATATCTAAATGAGGAGGAAGAGAAGGGTGACCAGTTCTTTCCTACTTTTTTCATATGAAACTGCGTGTTCTTGTGATCTGTTCAAACACGTTTCAGTTCAGACACGAAGACTTCTGGAATGACTTCGATTGCGTTTGTTTTGGTTCGGTGGTCATGATGTCGGTTTAGGTCGGTCAACTACTTGATTTTTTTTTTAAAAATGTATTTTTTTTGGAAGCGTGTTAATTGTTTCTTTTGGTAGTAGGTTTGTTTTTTTTTATATGAGAATTTTTTTAAATGAGTAGTAGGTTTGTTTTTCAAATATTAAAATGTTAAAAGTTTCATACCAAAAAAAAAATGTTAAAAGTTTGAGACTTTGCTTTTGTTGGAGAAAAAAAAAAGCTTACTTTGAACATTCTCTTTTACAATTCCGATATTCTAGATTCATTTATTTTCTGTGTTTTTTCTACGTTGAAAATCCTTTTGAATTGCATGGTTTGATTTCTTTTCCCTTTTTTCGTTATTAACGTGTTAAGGAAATGATAATTATCTATATGCTCAAAAACCCACATATTCGTTACGTAGTATCTTCAAATGTCCTTATGAAATCCATTATATGAATATGAAATAAAACTATAATATTGTTAGATCTTTTTAGTACAGGTAACCAGATGCTTATTTATGGTTTCTGAATAAAACATAATAAAACTAACCTTCAACAATTATGAACTCACTGAAATTATTTTATACCATATTTTAAACTTCTGTTTCATTGTCATTTATGATTTCAAAGAACAAAAACAATTGTAACATAACTAACAACCAATCATTTACAATTTCGTAAGCACTTCAAAACTTTTTTCAATATTGACATCTGCATATTTTTCAAACACAAATTTCAACTTTTTTCAATATCACAAACTAGAAACAACCACAATTTCAAAGATCAATAACAAGTGTTCATAGTTTTCCCATTCGAGAGTTTCCAATACAAAAGTTCCAAAAAAAAAAAAAAAAAGCCAAAAGCAGCAGAGTGAACATAATAACGTCTAATAAATCCAAACATCTTAAGACTTGGAACTTATAACTTAGACAGCTGCGGTAGAGACATCCTTAACAGACTGACGCCAAGCATACTCGCGAGCTCCTGTCTGGTCGACGATCTTTATCACAAAGTTTGGAGGCGCGACCACCAGCCTTGACCGGATTTCTAGTATGCACTTATCGACCAGCTCGATGGCTTCTTCCAGGGTCATGTCGCTCCGAAAGTGCCTGTCCATTGTGGAGAGCGAGAAGTAGGAGCCGTACCCGAATGCTCCCTTGTCAACCTTGTGAAGGGTTGCGATGTAATCGATGTAGTAGAGTGATGGGCCCGTCTCCTTGTCGTACCCAGCCAACAGTATGTTCACGAAATACGGATTCTGAGCAAACAGAAAAGGAGGAAAACAAAAAGATTAAAGTGAGATAATGAAAAAACTAATGTTGTAACAAAAGTGGCAGAAATGCAGCAGTAGCTAATACCTGTAATTTATGACTATTTTCACAGTTCAGAGCAATGGCATGGTGTGTATGTTAAACTCTTTGAAAAGAGGAAGATACCAAACTGAACAAAACCAAGATGCATCGAGATTCTAAGAAAATGGAGAAACACACAATGCAAAATCGTTTGACTTTAAATGGCTCAAAATGGAACTCCCCTGACCGCTATAGAGGTTTCATTTAGCTTAAAACAATCAGTTGGTGTCTTGATGATGCCTAATGCGACACTGAAGCAAAATAATTAGCTAATAACTTTGGCTTGTTTACAAAGTTGCCCTTTTGCACAAAGCTATAAGGCTGATCCCATACTTCACAGCACACTAGGGGCTTCCAATATCAAATCCCCCCTTTTTACTATATCTCAAAGACAGTTTGCATTTTCTACCTAACACTGACTATAATGGCTTGAGGTTAAACCAAACAGCAGAACATTATTCCTTCGGTGAAACAGATTGAATTCAATAACTCAAGATAGCTATACGAGTCTCCAAACACTTAAAGTCCTGAACTTTATACCTCTATACATAACAGGAAGTGAATTCAAAGACGCCATGGATGGGTCTAAGCACAACAAACACATTTACTAACATTTAAAAAGAAGAAGAAAAAACTCCTCACACTGTCAAAACTGCAGTGTGAGAACATAACATTTCAATTCACTGAATGAGAATCCTCAATCCAGCCAAGGAAGTTAAGCAAGAAATCAGTGCCACAATTTCACCATATCCAACAATTTCTTACTGATACATTTGGCATAGGTATAAAGAAAATCTAATTCCCAATTCTCACAAAACTACCCAAGACCAAAACCACATACCCCAAAACTTCAATCGAAAAGCAAAGCGGTGATAGGCAAAACCCCAAAGTAAAACCCTAGAAATGGTGCTAAAGAAAAATAACTAACCTTCCTCAAAGCGGTGGCGAGCTCTCCGCGAGTGAAATTCGCGGCGGCGGCGGTGGTCAGAGGGATTCCATTTCGGAACTGATACAACGCCACATTCTTCTGTATATACTCCGTAAATTGAACCCTAAAAACCCCAAAATACAAAACAGTCAGCACACTGAATCACCGCCGAAAAACAGGTCTAGAGAAAGCGGCGAAAGGAATTTACCGGTCACCAGGCTCTCCACTGGCGGCGATGAGCTTATGAGAGTCTAGTTTCATGATCTTGTCCTCGTTGTTCTTATGGACGAGGATGCTGTGAACGGCAGATGTATCGGCCACAACGATGGCGAACCCGTTCCCAACGAGACCAAACACGCACTCCATCTTCTGTCTCTGTTACAGATCTGTCCTAGATTTTTCCTGCCTTCGAACCTCTCCTCTTCGATTTCGCTTCTGATTTGTTCTCCGACGACAATGAAGAAATCACGAGGCGACTTGACGAACAAGAAGTGTTTTTTTTTATTCCTTTTGCTTTTTGCTCTCTCCATGAGAAATGGCAATCCAGTAATTATGGGACGTAGTAAGGGGCGATTTCGTCATATCGTCCAAGAGATGGGCTTAAAGCAAAGCGAAATGGGCCTGTGTAAAATTCACAAACACCTCGCTTCGTAGTGGGGCCCAGTATTTTAAATTATTAGATTTTCCTCCCCTATATTTTACTTTGTTATAGTTAAAACCCATTGGCTTTTTGTATCATCGTGTTATATAATATTATAAAATACGTTAGAGATAGCAATACAATAACAATAAAACAAATCGTGAAACGGGAGTTATGAGAGTAGATTTCAGTTTTTGGTTTGGGTATATCAAATTCAATCAGATATAGTTTTCGACCAAATTACAACAATTGTTTCATCGGGTAGTGTCCGATTTCTTTAATTCTCTAATTAATATATACATTAATATATTTGCATGCTTTTGTGTTTTCATTACGTATTAAATACGCTCGGAAGGAGAAAATCCAAAGTCTCGTACATTGTTACGTTCGGAGGGAGAAAGTTCGAAGCCTGGATTGAGTTCGGTTCGATTACTATTAGGATCGTATATCCTGCATATTAGGAAGTTGTCGTTTGGGAGATTATATTTAGTAGCTAGGTTTAACTTCATGATGTTGTATATAAACGAATGTAGATGTCTAATAAAGACAAGCCGTATTCTTCAAACTCTACAATTCGGTACGTGACATGGTATCATATCATGAGCCACCACCACCGTTTTGAAATTCTGACAAAAAAACTTAGACCCAAAATCCGACATTTTTCGAATGAGTTCAGATCGGACTTCGTGCCTAAATTATCGCCTCTAGTTAATTAGTAAGGTTCAACATTTGGTTTAATATCTAAAACTAAATTAAATAAATATATATACTTATAATCCAGTTTAAAATCGAATTATATATAGCATTTTAAATTTAATTAATCCATTCAATGTAAAAAAAAACAAGTGTTTTTGTAAAATAGATCAAAAGGAATAAATATAACTTTTAAATAATTAACTTTAAAAATTATATAAAATTACACGTAACCGACTTACTTTCCAATCTTGATTATTTGAATTAAAACAAAGTAAACCAGTAGAGTTCGAAGCCTCCTCTTCTGTTAGAGGCTTCCCCGTCACGGACACAGATAACCTGAATAAAATTTTCAAGTACTTTAACTCTATACAAATTAAAACTCTACGTAATTATCGAAAACTAATAGAATATCAAAATCTAAAAAAAGTATAATCAAACTTTGATATCATGACAATATTTTCTGAACAATACCTTATATATTAATTATTGATAATTGAATAGACAACGTAATCTCTTTCGCTAGAATACCCTAATTCATATTCTAATACCATCAAGCAAGAGTGGGCTTTATGGTATTTTTCCCGAACCAAAAATTTTCGTATTTTTTTCCAAATCGTATCGTTCAAAATTTCTGAAAGGTTTATAGAACCGAATTTTTCGGATCCAAACCGAATCAAATTTTATAAAATTCTCGAAAAATCGAATTTTTTTTAAGAAAATCTAAATTTTCTTAACAAAAACCGAAACTGAACTATATTGAAACCGAACCGAACAATATATGATACAAATTTTAGAATACCGAATAAACCGTTCCAGAACCGAACCGCTAAAATTCCGACTGAATCCCGAAACGTCCATCCCTGCCATAAAGAATAGTTAAACCTAAACTAAATAAGAAGTGTAACAATATCTAAACTCTTTCTAAATAGAAAATAGAAATTTCTCAAAAACTTATCTTTAACACTTAAAAAAAATCGATCTTAATAAAACTAATTAAAAGATGTTCTCCATTTCGAATTTGAAGATTTTAAGTTTGTTAATTTTTCCGGTGAAATTAGAAGTAAGCACGACTATTTTAGGTTTCAATTTGGTTATATTTGAATTCAATTATTTCAGTTATAAAAAAACTATAATCATTTAGTGTAGTTCGATTCGGTTCCTTTCAGATTCGTATTTTTATTGATAAAAATTCATATATATATTTTATAAAATCGATTATTTTTTTATTTTGTTAGTTTCGATTATAGTTTTTTCGGATTTTAAAAAGTCGTAATCATTCGGATGTTATGTTTGGTTCAGTTAGGTTAGTAACCGAAATGGACATCCCTAATTAGGAAGACGATGTGATGTGGTGGCTCGGAGATAAATACACCGTTATCTATGTCGTTTTTTTTGTAAAATGTGAATATATTAATCAGTAAGGAACAGTTTTAAGTACACTCCAGTTGAGTAACCATAAAAAAAAGACAGAACCTCACGACAACAACTTTAAAAAAAAACTAAAGAACAAAAGGACAACCACACACACAGGTATATGAACCATGTACAGAAAAAAAAAAACGAGTGATTATGAAATTTGCTCCCATTCTTGAAATGTATTAAATACGCACGAAAAGAGAGAAAATCATAAAAGTGTACTTTAGAACAAATTAAATTAGATATGATTTTCTACCAAATTACAGAATTTGCTTTCCACTGAATTGTTTCATCGGTCGGGTCGGGTCGGGTCACGCCCCTGGGTTTTGGAAAAATTCGGGCGGGTTTCCGTCCGATTTCTTTAATTCTCTAACACACTTATCTTATAAAGAACCCTAGAATCCTTCAAAGTGGCTTGTGACATCAAAAAAGGTGATTTTTCTTTTTCTTTTTTACTTTTCGCTCTCGATTACTCTATGACACTCCTCTCCGTAGATCGAAGTCCATGTTTTTTGCTTCAGTTTCTGGGTCTTTCTGTGATTGCGATTTTCGGTTGAAAAATCGAATCTTTTCATAAGAGGAATTCACCACGCAAGGTCGCCAAATTGATTCTGGTTTCTTCGCCTCTTTTCTTGAAAACAAGATGTGTTTGGATCGGGTGTCTTTGGGGGGGGGGGGGTT